CTTTAAATATTGTTGAAATAAAACAAAATAAAATAAAATTCCCCGCCGGACGCCATCCCAGTATTTCTGAGTATAGATATAGATATATATTTACTTGGTGAATCAAATCATGATAAATAGGCCTAGGCTACTAATACTTAACTACAGAAAAAATGAAATCATTTCAAATATGTTCCATATTTTCAATAAGCTGAATGTGCAAGTTAAGTTTGATTGCGTCAGAGAAAGTAGAATTTGGCTTACAAACAATATTGAGTTGTAAATTTTTGGTCCGGCCAAAACCGGACCGCTTCCGACGCCCTTGAATATGAATAATACTTGTATGTCTTCAAGAATTTGAAATAACAATAGTAGGCCTAACAAAAATAATGAGAAGAAATTGACTTATATACATTGATTTGACCTATATAGTCAAATCAATGTCTAGAACGATCACTAAGTTTATAAAAATAATGATACGGGGTGAATTCCACTTTCAGTGGCGGATCCAGAGATTTTCTGACGAGGGGCACAATATGAAGTTCACGCCGCTACGTCCACCTCCACCCCACCATGGTTGGTGTACATAAGTGGTGAACAATCGAGCTCACCTTTCACCCACTGCTGGATCGCCACTGAACTCATGGGCGTACTCCCTTTCTCCCTTTCCTCTCTTTAACTCAAATTTTTCTCCCCCTCTGTTATTTTTCAGCTTGACCGGCAGGGGTAAACGGGCCCTCATGGCTCCCGCTGGATCGGCGCCTGCTTTTGCAATCACAAACTAGAAAAATAATTAACTTACTTTGTTTACTAGAATTTTCAATATTCATAATTAGGCCTATTATTATATATAGGCCCGAACTTGCATCATAATATTAACATGAAAATCGTACCCATAATAGTGACGATTATTATATAAGGCCTACGAGTTCCTAACATCATCTCTTACCGTACATCATATACATTGATTGCCAGTAGGCATACGCATATACCATGACGTTAATTGTAATAATATCATAGTAGGCCCTACTTGTATATGTCTTCAATACAGAATTTGATATAACAATAGTATAATACAACTAACAGAAATAATGAGAAGAAATTGACTTTCCCTAGTCAAATCAATGTCTAGAACGATAACTAAGTTTATAAAAATAATGATACGGGGTGAATTCCACTTTGCATTCACGAATTAGAAAAATAATTAACTTACTTTGTTTATTAATGATTAATGTTCCTCCCGCAAGTACGTTCTCTTGGGCTAGTATAAAGAATGGTGTTCACGAACCTACGAAGGAAACAGTTTCAATGAAGGACGTCCTTAACGGGATGTGCAGAATAAAACTTACGCTTGGATTATCAAACACAACGGCAAAACAGATTATCTAAACTGATAAAACACAACGATATTGACATCCTCGAGTTTGTTTACTTGCTCTTTTCATGCTGTATTCAAGTTTAGCTAATTTACTTTACTCTTGAATTCTAAGATTTATTTGCGAAAATTCCGTCAATGCGGTTTCTTCTTCAGTTCATATAACGCGTCTTTGGATTCGTCAACGTAGAGCCAGGGCTAATAAGAAAGTAAGTCCGACAGCGTGAAATTGATAGGCATCGAATGAGAGGGTGCGGACTATAATATGCAACTTTCAATTGTGACGAAACATGCCACAGCAGTATCGATTATTTCAGCTCCGTTTGCTGGTGACAATAAACACGAATTTATCAATCTATAAAATGAGAGACAGATTTTCCACCATTGCACACAGGTTGCTGAATAGTAGTACGGCAGCTTAGGGCCACATTTGGACTTAACGTGGACGTTCCGGACAAAAGCACCAATTTTTTTTACAATATTTGACCTTGAATGACCTATTTGTGGCAATCTGACCAGGTAAAAAATGGTAATTGTATGGTATATACATTGAATGACCTTAAATGACCTTTTATGATCTTAATGACCATCTGACCATGTCACAAGTGTTATAAATCCTTGACCATGAAATATAATTTTAGATATCATAATTCTCATTAAAGTGGTTTAAAAACCGATATATTGATAAATATAGGATTTGCGTGGCAGCCATTTTGAAAATCAAGATGGCCGCCAAAATGACCTCGAATGAAATATTGTAGTTCATAGTAAAGATTTTGAATTCTGAGAGTCAGGGTATGGTTCTAATGTAAAATATGACAATTATGTAATTTTTAAGATACCATACAATATTTGACCTTAAATGACCTATTTGTGGCAATACCAGGTAAAAAATGGTATGATGGTTTTCCTGGACCATATAAAAATAGTTTCAGACATTAGAATTATAATTCCAAGTGGTTTAGAAGCGAAGATATAGATAAACATAGGTTTTATTAGGCGGCCATTTTGAAATCCAAGATGGCCGCCATAATGACCTCGGATGAGGTGGTTCCTACCAAAAATTGAATGCTATGACCATAAGTAAGAAGCATGTAAAAAAAAATTGGTGCTTTTGTCCGGAACGTCCACATCCATCTGCTAAGCTGCCGGACTATAGGGAGAAACACTGGATCCAGATTGGCGTATGATTTATAGCATTACGTTCTGTCTAAGAATATTATTTTTTTTTCTGATATAGGCCTAATATTTTGTATGCCTATATATAGCCATGGTGTGCCTGTATAAGGTCATGATGTGATGTCATCTTGACCATGTTTAGGCATGTCACACGTGTTTGTCAAATAAAATTTGAAAGTCCGGGCAGCGCTTAACGCTCTGTCTACATTATCCAACTTTATGTCACAAATTTGTGTGATGTGACCATCCATATTAAGGGTATGGTGATGTATTAAATCCAAATATGGGCATATTGCGTTCATTTCTCCCATAAAATCGAATAGTGTTAGACAGATATTTAGTGACGAAAACAGTACCGAGGTATTTTAACATGAACAATAAATCAAGAGTAACGAGTCAAACTTGATATTCCAGATTCCTATTAAACAATATTGTAGCAGGAAATCCAACATATGTTTATCAAAAAAAAAACAAAAAAACAAAAAAAAAAACGCGTTCGGCGTCGGCAAATACGTAGATTTTCCTCTTGGTCAAGGTATTTCATGTTTTACGTTACAGTACAGTAAATAATAAAGACCAAGAGAATTTTAACAAAGCTTATCGTAAATCTGTTCAGTTAAGAAACAAACTTTAGGCTGTTAAATACTAACTTTTTTTCCAATTTTTTTTTTTGGTCACATCTGGATTTCACAACATGTATATGATTCTATCAATAAATTATTAACTAAAACTAACTCATTGATACATGTATTTAAAAAAAAAATACAAGTAATCCAGCTTTAATCATTTTAAAGCTTTTAAAAGGAACATAAGTATTATAAGATTAGTTGTTTTACATGCATATATACATACAGTTTGAATGTAATACCGTCGCATATCAACAAAAAATTGCATTGACATTATTGTACTTTGGAAATTAAAAGAAAAATTTGGAATAGAGTTAGTGAAAACGATGAAATTACAAATTATGTTCGAGAGTTGAAATAAAAAATTAAATAAAATATGCTTACTTTAAAACAACTATAATAATTAGATTACATATAGAATTGCTCGACTAAAAAGATTAACCAAGGATTAACTACGTATAAGACTTTGTCCACACTCACATTTTTTGAGACAAGACACTGTGATATGCCCATATTTGTGTGTAATATGACATCACCGTATGGGAACATCGCACAAATTTGTGACATAAAATTTGAGAGTGTTGACAGATCTTTAGTTATAATCTAAACAATATATACGCTATAAGAACGTTATAATAACGTTACAGTTTGGTGTTGAAAACGTTATTTTGTAGAACCATATTACAACGTAATTTCACAACTGCATAACGCTTGAACGTTCCTGCAAGTTTGTGTGAACGTTATTTTGTGACATGCCAAACCACAACGTTCGCGAACGTAATTAGAACGTTTTGTGTTTGCTGGTTCCAATGTGAGACTGGGTATATAAACCCCCACCCCCCCTTTTTTTTTTGTTACTTTTTGCCAGATTTGCTTTTAAAATCCCTTACAAATTCAGGGTACTGTACACACCGTAAAAACAATAATTGAAGCCAATTGGCTTTTTTTTGTTTTGCCCCCGATCTTTGGATTGGCTTCTTTTCGAGATGAGCTTCTTTTCGAGACTACTTTTGCAAAGTAAAGAGGGTGGCTTCTTTTTAAAATGAATGCTGTAATTCTTTTCAAAATGAATACCGTAAATTTTGTGAATTCGTGCTACAAAACAACGAATAAGGCCACTTTAACATTGGAGTGTATTTAACCGCCACTAAATCGCTTAAAATATTGTATAAACCAAGCTTGTATCTAATTTATTTTGTTTTCTGAAATTCATTTACAGTGTGTATGTACTATACTATCTCGAAATAAAGCCTTTGCTATCTTGCAAGGCTAATTTTGCAAACTAAAGAGGAGGCTTCAATTCGAGGTTTTACGTTACGGCATACACACGAACTTTGACCTAAAAGTCTATAAATAATAATTTGTAAAGAAATTTTCTTTCTCTCACACTTCCAGTTTAACTGTAAGCACACAAAGTAGGCCCTATTTCAAAGATTGAATTTAATTCTTTATTAGTTTAATTCATTGGTGGACATTAAAATTGATCGGAGGGCCAAAGTGAATTTTTGATTCAACTCTGAGGGCCGCCCCCAAACTTGGATGTTTCAGTGCACTTCCAAAAAACCTTCATACACTGTTTAATGGCCACTTTATTCTTAGTTTTACTATTACTTTTTACTTATGATCAGTACCGGGCGACAAAAAGCAAAGGTGTTTTCTAGCCAAGGATTGTTGGCGGGCCGCACACATAGGGTTTGTAGTTTATTTTCGCGGGCCGCAAAAAAAAAAAAAATCACAGGCGGGCCGCACTTTGCCCACCTGTGGCTTAATTCAAACAATATATTTTAAACATAATATACAACAATAAAAGAAACTCATATAATAGTACTGTATGTATCTGATTCATTCCAAAATTTAATATAAAGTACAATATATATTTGACTGATATATGCAAAACTGTATTTTTGAGTATCACAATGCAATACAATAGATTTTCAGAATAACTGATAAAATAATAAAAACAATGTATGACACATATCAGTTTGATGACGTGAAATGTCATCATGCGCTCGTTAAAAGAATTACCTGCCCAAGGCCACAGTATGTGACAGCAAACAATGCTGACGTAAAACATGGTAACACATTTTGTGAAAACGTGCCTAATAGCAACAAGTGGTGAATAACTTATGATAAAATGTATCTCCTTTATGGGTATTTGTAAGTTTGCACCGGGATTCAAGTACCCCCCCCCCCCCACGACCCCCAACTGGGCCTGGACCAAACTGACTGGGAACCACTCTAAATTTGTAAAAAATACAGAAATTAAAGGGGGGGGGGGGGTTGTAGAAAATAACAATCAAATCTGAGAATGCATTTCTGGCCAGATAGAAATGCCACTAAAATAAAAATTTCATGCCTTAGCCCCAATCATGGTAGAGATAGGACTTTCATTCTGTAGAGGTTTCTTTCTGGGCTGCCTCTAGTTTGAATTCCTGGATGTGGTTTGATAGCAAATGTGCTTTAGAAATATGAGATGCAATATTATCGAACACTCCTTAAAGGCACTGAGTATCCATAGCAGTGGAGGATCCAGAATTTGAAATAGAGGAAGCCCAGGGAGGAACATTCACAGATGGAGGGCCTAGAGCACTTTTAGCCTCACCATGGTTGGGGCGTAGGTAAGAAAATGTATGATTATGGCACCTCCAGATGGGTGGAAATGGCACCCTCAGACTTTAAAATTAGAATATAATTTTCATTTTTTCCATTTCTTTAATAATTTGAAACATTTTTTTTTTGTGGGGGGGGGAGGAGAGGAGGAGGAGGGGACTGGCCAACTGGGACCCTCTTGAATTTGCCGCTACATAGGCATTTGTTCCAGCGACCAAGATAATAATGTGAGAGACGTACATGCTTTGGCAATATGTAATAGATAAGACGGGCATTATATAATCATCATAATCATAACCAGCACCACAATAATAAATATTCTTTATATTATTTAGTTGAATCAAATTTGAAATAGAGAAAGCCTTTGTTCATAATTTAAAAATTATTAAAACACAATATTATCCATACTTTTGTATATACTCATAGCTTAATATGTACTATATTAGTTTCATTGATTTTTATAGTTCCAGTATAATTATATACTAAAGACACCACCACTTTAAACATTTGTCCTTTTTTGTGTTCGTGACAATAGTGTATAATGTATTTTATCCTATGGGAGGATACACCACAGACAGTTTAGCGAATTGTGACAATTCTATAAGCTCAGGTTACAAATAATACAAACAACCAATCTGATTTATTCTAAGTACCCTCGCAAGGCACCTAATCCAACACAAGTCTTACATTGGTTAATCCTCAACATAAGCATGTATCCCTTAATCCCACAGATTAACAACATTTAATCTGCTAGATTATCATTAAAAAAAATGCCATTAATATTTCTCTTCTTCTAACAGTTCTCATTCAACAACGCCAAGTTTTTTGCGTAATTCTCTGTCTGTTTTTAGTTTTTTCGATGATGGCGCATATATGCCTGTGTATGGGCCCGAGCAATCAAATGAGCTTTTCTTCATAGAATATGGAATTACAAAGTTTTTCCGGATGATGTCGACATCTCTCTGGAAGTGCGGTTTGATTCTGGTACTTAACTCGGGACTAGCATCAACTTCGAGGATGAAGTAACTGCAAAAAAATTGTATTCACATGTGGATTTGTAAAATTAATGTGAAAATAATAAAACACAACAAAAATGTAATTAAATAAAAGAGAAACCATAATACAGGTCAGGGGAGGATACAGAATTTTTTCAAACGGTGGGGGGGTGGGGGGAGACACAACAATCTTAAAATAGGTAAGTGAGTAGCACATAACATTGATTTGCATTGAAAATTTTAAAATTTAATGGCAAAACGGGGGGGACATGCCCCTGTTCCCCCTACTGGATCTGCCCCTGCAGGTCTCCCTGTAATTACAGACCCCTCCAATTAAAGACCATCTCCAATTAAAGACTAATATTCTGTAGTCCCAAATTAACATTTTCCATTATTATTCTAATTAAAGACCAAAGATGCTAAGATCATCAGAGGAGGGCGGAAAAAAAATTAAAATTAAATTTTGTTTTTTTATTTAGCAAATAGTTTTGCCAAAAACATCCAAACAGAGGAGAAAATAAAAATAAAATTTTATTGGTGAATGTAAACAGTGTAGTTACTAGTAATGGGATGGTTAAATGTTATAAATTTATATAATTATGAAGAAGTACACATATATTATTTTTGGAGATTTCAAGGCAGAAGGCAAAAATAAAGAAAAACTTTTATTTCTTAAATTTCCATTAAAAGCGGGTGCACTGATTGGCCAAAAATAGAATTTTATTTTTAATTGAAATCATCATTATTGGCGAGTGCGAGACCATGGAAACCGGGGTCAAAAAGTGGTCTTTAATTAGACAGAGAACAGTATTCATTAAAAAAATTTCTTTACAAGAAATTGGTGCCCTAATTATAATATAACGATCGTCTTTAGACACAGAGTCTATTATCATGAATTTTTACACTGTACAAATATAGTTTGTGACGTTTGTTTGGAAAAAAGCAATATATATTGCAAAGAGGTACTGTAAAATAGTGAGTCTAGGCTTCCTTTAAGTACAATCAGGGGTTCGAATACTGGACTCGCTATTTGTATTCTTTGCAAGAATATTCAAGATGATTCAAGTACCTTTAATGGTCTATAAAATATACAGAAATTTGGGGAGCAACCTAGTTGCATCCTAGACATTTCACCCCGAACATTTTCCCCTGGTATTATGCAAATGTCCAGGGAGGCAACTAGCCTAGATTTAGAAAATTGTTATTCTTGGTAGATAAAATGAACATGAATGTGTGTATACTATTACAAAAAAAAACAAATGACTTCCTACAGTAGTTCTGCAGAGTGTAGTGTTTGGAGGACGTAGCTTTACGCCAGATTTACATTTGAATATAAAGGCACTTTAATCTAAGATGCCTCTCTACCCAGGATTATCAGTGGGTACCTTGTGGATTTAGATGTCAATGCACAGCTGCTACATTATGTATTATGTATTCTCAGAGGAAGTTAAGTATAGATTCCATATACATGTTTGATCTAATTAAACTGGGTAATAATTAGACTTGTTACAAGTCGCTTAACTATATATTTTTTCCCCCATTCTGGACAACGCCACTGTCACATTAGAATTGAATCTCATGTATTGTTTAACCAAATAACGTTTAATCATTCAAGCATGTAGTAATGACACTCTATTCATTAATGGTAAATGCTTGATAGTCAATGATATGCAAAACATACAGGTGCAACTTTCTTTCGTATAAAATAGATTTTCATGAGGAATTACGACACACCTATTCATTCTTTGTTTTGTGGTACACTGTACGGGGAGAATGAAGTACTTGTCGCAGGGCGCAGGTTGTATTCCTATGAAGTGAATGCCTGTATAAGCCTAGGCCGGTTAATTTGGAACTGGTAGGAACTGTGATTGAAGTACAATATTGCTGTTTCCATTTAATACAAGCGATGGACTGTCTTGTTGGGAAAAGCACGCAAGCGATGGTCTGTCTTGTTGTATCCCCGAGTATTTGATCCGTTCAAAATTGCCGCTGACGGAGTCAGTATTGGTTGATTGAAATCATACTAAAGTGAACTGTACAACATGGAAAATTGAGCAGAAATGACTTCTGGATGATTGAAGTAACATTCAACTTTTGTTGACTGCTCCGTATAATATTTTTGGAGCATTGTTTATTATAGGAAATGATTTGCATGAGACACTAATTGATTTCATGAATGAAATAGTTTGCATGATATTCATATTTTTATAACTGGTTATGAACGTAATGATTTGCATGAGATACTAATTAATTTCATGAATGAAAT